CGCAGTAAACTGTTTCTTGTTTCTTGTTTATTTTTATATTTCTGCGTTATAGTCTTGTATATTAGTTTGTTCATTATTAAAACAAAATGTTTCCCATTTTAATGTCCGATTCAAATTTACTCCAAAATAAAGTTGTTCTTGTAACAGGCGCTTTACCACCGTTGACCACTAACTTGCACACTGTATATCTGCCCTGGGCACCTTCCTGGTGCTGGTCGACTCACCGTCCAATAGCACAGGCAAGCAACTCAACACTATCCTACCAACACATACAATCTACATTAAATCCAACCTATTCCAGCAATGGGAGGTCCGGCTAATTATATAGGCCGCGGTATTGACCTTTGGTCACTCTGACATTCTAGTCAATAATGCACACAGCCTGTTCGACAAAACATTGGATGCCAAGAACATGCAGCCTATCTGCAACATCATTGACGTTAATTTTTGCGCATCCATTTTTGGCATTCTGGGTGTTCTCGTGGTATGTTTGCCAGGCGAGCAAGCAGGGCGTGGTGGTCAATGTTACGGTGATGGCTGGGTTGGCTTTCAGCAGGGAAAGGGAGGTGTTTGGCATGATTAATTCCGGTCTAACACATTTTACTGAAGCTAGTCGCATACAGAAGGATAATGCCAGATGGTGTGCCTTGGCACACTATTATGTTGACGGCTTGGTGGACGGCGGTGGTGGCGGCAAAATGTTTCCCAGGAATAAATTGGGTGCAGTGTTGGTTATAGTCTGCGAGCAGGTTGTTGAGGCTGTGGTCAGGTGTATTTTTGACGATCGGTTAAATGGAAAAGGGGTTCTGATGGCTAGCAAGTCGACTTATACACATGCTTGGGCGTATTTGTTGGCCAGAGTGCACATGTTTTTTTATCATTATGTGGAACATGCTCATGCTGCTTTTCAATCGGTTAGTATTTTTTTGCTAGCACAATGTGAAGAACAAACAGAAAGAAGAAGTAACTGAAGCTGATAATAAAAAAGCATTGCATTTTCATTCGTGTTTTTTTCAATAAAAATGCTTTGGTCGAAATTCTACTTGGTTACTGACAACATATTTTTGCTAGATATTTGGCCACCTCCATTTTAGTTCAGAGGTCCGTGATTCATTCATATGACCCGGCTTCTAATTTCTGGCTGCTGCAAACTCTTTGAATAGACAATTCGCTCTAAACTGTCTTTTATCTTTGACTCAATGACGGGCCAGCATGCCCCCCCCCCAAAAAGCAACAAAAGCAAAAGCAATGTACAAGGGAGAGAACAATGACAATTGTAAATTAGTCCGTAAATATAATTATTTCTTGTTTCCATATTTCAGCCAACCAAATGCGAACACAATGACAGGTTCAAAATTTTTTGTTTATATTAATTTTTTATTTTATTTTTGGGGGCACTTATTGGTTGATAGTGATCAACTAATTAACCAGTCTTGGCTGTTTAGCAACACAAACAATAAGTCACACAGTGAACAAAGCAATATGCTTTCTACTCTTTACCTTTCACAGTGCATAGCACTTATTTATTAAATATACTTTATATCATTATAGTTTATCTACACGTTCATAGAATGTTCCTATATTCCAACAGCACTCTATTGCTAAAATTTTTCCACTGTCGTGCTCTATAAAAATGTGGGTCTAAATCGATATATTCAAGTCTTAAAAATTCCTTAACTTAACTGAAAAAGGTGGCAGCGCTGTGTGGGCAGCGCTGTAAACATCATGGTATTCCTTGATGTCAGCCAGCAATAACAGAAATGTGTATAGTGGCCATGATGGCGATCTTGATTCTTGAAAAGGGAAGATAGTGGCTTGAAATGTGTGTTGGGCACCACATCCACATTTCCAATTTTCTATCTTTGCTTCTACTTTTGACAGTTGCTTTTTCATTTTCCACAGTTTTTTTCTTTTTCTTTCTCTATTTTTATTTTATTTACTTTTCAATTTTTCTCTCTACTCTCCCAACAATGTCTGAGTTAACTCCACCGGCCGAAACAGGGGTAAGTAGAAGCAGCCAATGTTTTATTTTAACCTTAATTTACTTTGCAGTTGTTCATTTGAAATTTATTAAGAATATTATAACGCTGATTACAAATGACAAATTGGCTATTTTATTATATTATATTAAAAGAGCAAAACGGACGGCACTTTCCAAACGTCCACTGAAAGTCAAACCAAGGCGGACCTGCCGCCAGGGGAATGGGAGACCGACGACGTACGTGATAAGCGCCGTCAACGGCTGCTGAAATGCCTCAGCAATAACATATTGCACAACTATCCGTTTGCTAAGTTTGTCAAATCACTGGGTTTGAAAGAGCAGTATAATCAGTTTATCAAGGATTGGCCTGATCTCTTTCTCAGAATAGCCAGGGGTCGCCAGTGGCTAATAGAAGAGGCATTATAGCCAATAAACGTTGCTTGAATGCCAGACTCAGTAATTTGCCCATTACTGACGTTTTCATATCTCATCCAAAGTTGATGGAGCAGACTAGGGAAGCTCGTTAAGTCAAATATTTTATCCTTCTCTTCAACAAGATGGTCAATGTGGTTTGTGTTGCAAATGAAGATATTCCAGCAGGCAGAACTCCAATCCCAAGCTGCAGGGTTAGCCTGAAGGACCATCAGAGTGATGTTAGACAAGCCACTCCACATAAGCCAGCTATTGAATTTTACCACAACTACACAACACGGGACATTCATTCCGTTCATGCTATACTCGAGGCCAAGGCGGATCCAAACCCCAGCAAAACCCCAGAGGATATTCATGGCCAGCTTGCAGATTATGGCCATTTGCTTAATGATGGGCAGCCAACGCGTACATTTGCACCTGTCTTCTACCTCCATGGACACCTCCTGACACTTCATGCATATTATCGTGACAAACTGTACGTCGTTGAGTTTGGTGATATATGCTTTGATACTGATTATTGGACAGCTGACGGAGCTGAACGAATTCAGGAGTGCCTCATGCAGTTATAGTTTCTGCTAACTCTTGAGTCGAAATTCTTCAAGCATTTCTGCAATGTCTCAGAGGAATCTGACTTTTTCATTTTTTCAAAGAAAGTTGATGTGGAGAGCAAGGGCAATTCAAAGATTGAGGTCTTATTCTCGGTTTCCAAGCATGTCAAGGATGGTGAGGATGTTGCTTCTTCATTTTGATTTGAGGAGACAATAGCACGTTATTCATACATGGTTGGGCGCCATGTTCATTTATTCAGGGGGAAATCCAATGGGAAGCATGATGCTGTGCTGAAGCTTTTCTGGACCCCAGTCAAACGTTTGCCCGAGGGTGCCGCATACACCATCCTCAACAAGAGACGAGTCGAAGGTATTCCTGAGATCTTTTCGAGTGGCCTGCTCATCAGCAACCTTAATGGATACCAACTGGAGTTTGTGCTCATGGAGTACTGTGGCCAGTCAATGGCCAAGTATCTTAAAGACAAGGCCAACGATCAAAAAGATGAGCTAGTTCCTGGCTTTGTCAAGCAGCTGACCCTGTGCCTTGCCCAGCCAAATGAAATTGGTCTCCTGCACAGGGACAGCTCGGCAAGAAATGTGTGCATCAAAAACGACAAGGTGTATGTCATTGACTGGGGCTGTGCCAAGGTTATTGGCTGGGGCACTGCTGGGGATGCTGCCAGGGACACTGACCCAACTCAGCTCAAACACATTGAAATTGCCGAGCAGTGGGAGTTTAATGCAACAGTGGGACGGGTGGAGGTGGCCAAAGACCCATTTATAGGGACGCTACTTTTTATGGGAATTGCCATTCTCAGCAGAAACCCCATCCAGGGAATCCTTGATGACTTGGAGAGTATTTTCTATGTCATTATGGATGCAGTGCGCCCAGCTTATACTGAGAGGGATGACGTTCAGGGGTTCGAGTTCCTGGACTCTTCATCCCTTGCCATTATAAGGTGGTGTTTGATCCAAGAGGATGCTGTCTTGCTGGGGGAGTTTGGTGTTAAAAATATTAGCCCTAGGCTTATAAAGCTCATTCGTATGATATGCCAGTTCCTGTTTGAATCAGAAAACAAGATTATGACCTACCAGCTCTGGTCTAGCAACAAATTTGTTCGATGGGCCAACTGGGATGCTTGTGGTGCCCAACACACATTTCAAGCCATTATCTTCCCTTTTCAAGAATCAAGATCGCCATCATGGCCACTATACACATTTCTGTTATTGCTGGCTGACATCAAGGAACATTATGTTTACAGCGCTGCCTACACAGTGCTGCCCCCTTTTTCAGTTAAGTAAGTAATTTTTAAGACTTGAATATATCGATTTAGACCCACATTTTTATAGAGCACGACACAGCCTCCACTATTCATATTTATTGGTATTTATGTATGCGTATGAATTTTTGTATATCCAAGTAAGTAATTAACTAGCGATTGATTCATTAATCAATCGCTGGAGACAAGCCGCAATTTCTTGTATCACAACTAGTTTCCAGCTGGATGGCAGATGTGCACTGGAATGTTCACCTAATCTGGTAATGACATGGGCATCGATATAATTGGTGGTTTTGAGCTGGTTGCAAACTGCTCTGAGCCACGCAGTACTGCCATTGACTGCAAGTTCGCTGAGATGACAAAACCTATGCCTGTTTTAGATTTGTTGATATTACATTTCAGGATCAAGTCACCATCTGCTGCTTCAATTGTTGATAATGCTGCTGCCACAGATGGGTCTCATTGTACATGCTGTACTACCTATTTTTCAGCATGTTTCTCAACAGTGAACCAGTATAGAACTCAAGATGGAAGTTTGAGTCTGTTGTGATCATGACTTATATTTGGGAGAATGCTGGTGGCAAGCACACCTTTCATGTACATTGTGATACAAGAAATTGCGGCTTGTCTCCGGTGATTGATTAATGAATCAATCTCTAGTTAATTCCTTACTTGGATATGCGGGAATTCATACGCACGCATAAACACCAATGAATATGAACAGTGGAGGCTGTTCATCCCTTAGCTTTCTTTTAGTTCATTTTGTTCAAATATATATTTTTAACATAATATGCATCTGCTCACCAGCTGGCTAATGCAGGTTAGGTGATCCTCAGATCAGTGTAGGTTTCCCCCGAAGAGTGGTGAGGGCATTGGAGATGACCTCCAAAATGTCTCCTATGGCAGCATGTGGATATGCAGGTGACATGGTATGGTGACAATGACTGTGACATCACTGGCCCTGGGCAAGTACAGCAACCAGTATGGCAAGAGGTGGGAGGCCGGGGGTGTTATTGGCACAGATATTGACTCAGACTATGGCAGTGTTGAGTTTTATCACAATAGCCAGTCAATGGATAAAAAGTATAAAAGGTGCATGAGTGAGTTTGATACTGTGGACAAATGCAGAAGGTGGCACCCTGCAGTCTCATTCACATTGGAACAAGAACTGGCGTTTTTGGGGACTGTGGCCAACAGCAGCATTTTATCTTTGATGTCAGTTTTGCATTTGTTGTTCTGAGCGGGAAATGTTTGTTTATTGAGTCAACATGCCCACTGCAATCTTGTGTGCGACATCAATTATTATAATGTCACGTGACACTTGCACTTGTGAAATTGTAATTGTTTACGATCGCGATTTCTATTTTCACTGTCGATAATTTTGAATAGATAAGCGGAGCTCTTTAAGCTCCCTTACGGTGGATTTTATGAAATATATATTTAGCACGAATAAATTTTATTACACTGTCTATCACTAGAGCCATTATAAGCAATGTTCAAACGCTTGCCAAAGATCATGTTGTATAGGAAGTGAATATGTGCAAAATGTGAGCTAAGTTTGTCCGACTAAATTTTTTGTTGAAAGCCTGCTGGGAAAAACAAAATTTATAAAGAAAACTAGGCATAAAAGATGCGAGTAAATTGGCATGTTTGTTGGGATTGGAGTCATCAATTTAAAATATTCAAATAATAAAAAATTATTTTATAAACCCATATGTGGGTAATATTTTCCATATTGTACAAGTATTTTATTTTATACAAAGTCTTTGAGCGGCGTTACACATATTAATGCCAATTTACAAAAGCTCGCTTTCACATATACTTACTTTCTAATTTTATTCTAATTAAAATGGACAATCTCGTCGACTCGGCAGTCAAAAGCACAAATTGTCTGTTTCCTGGAGAGTCGGCAGGAATTGTGGCTCTCGATGCAAACGCAGATATCTTAAAGGGCCAGCGGACCAGTATTGCGACAAAATACCGAGATGAGTACCTGGTTTCTCGAGAATTACCACGAGGCGTAGAGAAATTTGGGGCAAAATTAAATGACATAAATAACAACTCGGATTTATCAGCGTCGTTTGGACCTGCGCTAACAACGCAACTGTTGATTGCGAGCGGCAGCACCAACAGCAGCGTTGCTGGAGTATCTGCGAATGCATTTACGGATGTCGAGGACGAAGTACAGCGAGTGCTTGATGGGCTTGCAGGAAAGCAGTCAAAGTCCAAGGCCAAAAAGGTTAAGAAGCCGACCCGTGAGCTTGTGCTGGCAGCTGCCGAGAAGGGTGCAAGCATGGCAGCGAGCCTGCCTCCGCCGCCCGGACAGCAGATTGTGCGTAAGCGGAATTACGACCCAATTAAGCCGGAATGGCATGCACCGTGGAAACTGATGCGGGTGATCAGCGGACATGTTGGGTGGGTGCGGTCACTGGCGGTAGAGCCAGGCAACAAGTGGTTTGCCTCTGGATCTGTCGACAGAACTATCAAGATCTGGGACTTGGCCTCAGGCACATTGAAGCTTACACTGACCGGGCACATCTCGCCTGTGCGCGGACTGGCGGTTTCGCCACGGCATCCGTACTTGTTTTCGTGCGGCGAGGATAAGCAGGTCAAATGTTGGGATCTCGAGACGAACAAGGTCGTGCGGCAGTACCACGGGCACTTATCTGGAGTGTACGCGTTGGCGCTGCACCCAGTGCTCGACGTTCTGATCACCGGCGGGCGCGACGCCGTGGCGCGTGTCTGGGACATGCGCACTAAACAGCAGGTGCACGTACTGTCGGGACACACATCGACGATCTCGTCGATCGAATGCCAGGAGGCCGACCCGCAGGTGATTTCGGGCTCGATGGACTCGACAGTACGCCTGTGGGACCTGGCGGCTGGAAAATCGATGGCCACGCTGACGCACCACAAAAAGTCTGTGCGCGCGCTTGCGCTGCACCCGACTGAGTTTGGGTTTGCCAGCGCCAGCTCGGACAATATCAAGCAGTGGCGGTTTCCGAAGGGAGATTTTGTGCAGAACTTTGAAGGGCACAACTCTATTGTTAACGCAATGTCCGCCAACAGTGACGGCGTGCTGTTTTCTGGCGGTGACGATGGCTCCATGCGCTTCTGGGACTGGCGCAGCGGACATTGCTTCCAGGAATCTCAGACCATGGTCCAGCCGGGATCGTTGGACAGCGAGGCTGGCATTCTTTGCTCTACTTTTGATCGCACTGGCTTCCGTCTGATCACGGGCGAGGCAGACAAGACAATCAAGATATGGAAGGAGAACGACGATGCCACCGAAGAGTCGCACCCAGTCGACTTTAGGCCAAGCCTTGGCCGCCGGCGCCACTAGCTGGGTCCTTGTCTTTATCAATACATTTTCAACTTTAAATCATCAATTTATATCAGGGAGCTAATGATAAACGATAAATGACAAATGTATGTTTTAATTTAATTCGTTTTTTGTTTTGTCAAATTTCGGTATGTTCAGCATAGCTTCAGATATGCGGCCGTGATCTCGGGGCCTGCCACAAATGCCTGCTCCACCAGGTGCTTTGCACTCGAGCGAGTTGTTTTGTTGCTGCTGCTCTCGGAATTGAGGGTTTTAAAGGCTGCTTCCGGCACCCATTGTCTCGGAGCCGCCTGCAGCCTGGGTGCCGACACGTCATCAGCACCTGTCAATGTTGACGTCGATGCCGATGCCGGATTTGATGTGCGGTAGAGCGGCGACGGGTGAGAGGGTTCGGCGAAGCGGTGGCGGCGATCAGGAATGCACTGGCCCTCCTTATTACTGCCCCAAATAAGCACATCGTACCCGAAGAGCGGAGCCTTGTTCACCTCGGCGCCAGACTGGTCCAACACAACGTTGGTATGGTTGTCGCGGACAGCCACAACGTGGTCACCGGCCGCAGAGATCGAGCGCAGGCCCAGTGGCTTGCGCAATTGCGACTGCGGATCAAACTCGTGCTTGTCAGAGAGCGCGGAAATAACAGCTGGCTTGCCCTGCATGTGGACCAAAAACCCGGTACCCAACTGGCCGTCAATGCCGCGGCCGCACGAGAGCAGGCGCAGGTTGTCGCCGCGCCTGACTTGGATGTATGATGTTGCGCTGCTGGCAGCCAGCATCTCTGCGCGCTCCAGCGCCGGGCGGAAATGCTCGTCCTTCCACAGCCTGCGCAGCGGAGTGAGTTCACGCACGGTGGAGTTCCCTTCGGTGTAGTTGCCCATGGCCAGTTGGCCAAAGTCGTTGGCGCCACAACCGAGCACGTCTCCATCGACCGTAAGCAGCAGCGTATGGCGGCCGCCGCACACGGCGGCACTGAACTTGCGGTCGGCCGGAACGCGCTTAAGCACAAATGGCTGCACGGTGGCCGCAGCGGCTGCTCCGAGGCCCAGCTGGCTGCGGTCGTTGCCGCGAGGGCCGAGAGCGCAGGTGTAGACGTGGCCGCTGCTCGTGGTTGCCGCAATGTGGTCTTCGCCGGCAGACAGCGACACGACGTTCTCGCGCCAGCCCAGCCGCGGCTCAAAGGCAAGCGTGGCGGGCTCTGCGCTGGCGCTGGCAGTTGCGGGAACCAGGCGGACTCGGCTCTTGCTGTCCAGGACTGCAACGTAGTCGTTGCTGGCAACCAGCAAACGGATGCTGGAGTCGCGCAGCGTGCACAGCGGCGTGTGCGGAACAGCGGCGCCGGCAAAGCCAGTGCCCCACTGGTAAAGGCAGCCGTCAGCGTCGACGGCCGCAGCGTGCGTGGTGGCAAAGGCCGCGCTGCGCAAAAGCTTGCCCCCAAGGCCCGGGACGGCTGCCTTGAGGCCGACGCCAGAGCCTGGGTGCAGGGGATCAACCAGCCCATACTTGTTGGACCCGGTCACATACAGGCCCGGGTGCGTCCAGGCCCAGTTGACCTGCTCCAGCGCCGGCATTGTCGACACAGGCGCCATTCTGGCACGCAGCCGCCGCACGCGCTGCGCCTGGCTCTTGGCCTCGGCCTTGGCCTCGGCTGTGGACTGCGCGCCCGTGCTGGCTGCCCCGCTGCCCAACCACGGCAGGTGCTTGGCGATCCCTGCGCCAAACTCGCTGTATGCGTAGTACGCGACTCCGCCGATCAAGACCACGGTCGCGCCAATGGCGTAGCTCGAGACCTCGGGCGCGACACCCTCGACTTCGGCGTCAAGCCCGCTGAGCGGGGGTGTTGACGGGTGCGTGGTGTCGGGCTGTGTGCGAAGCGAGCGCAATGCGGGCTGCGCCGGGCCTCTCGGTGCTTGGCGGAAGACCGCCTTCGCTGAACGAGCTGCGGCTATGCGAAACATAATAACTAACTGTAGCTGTGGCGAAATAAAATGTATAAAAAAGGAAGGGAGAGGAATGTGGATCAGAGATAATGCAGGCTGGCCCGCAATGGCGGGGGTGTTTTTGAAGAAGAATAATAATTGAGAATTGGAACCACGAAATGCAGTTGCATTTGCAATTACTATTGCAAATATAATAAAATCGGCTGAATGCAAACCTTGGGGCCAAATTAAGCCTTCTTTGTTCTGCCGATTGTAATTTATCTTTTTTCACCTTTAATTTTCCATACACATACCCACCAATTCTCACGCACCCACCCACAGTCATTACGGCGATGCGCGATCCGACATACACGTACTGCCGCGAGCTGCTGGCTCCGAGCACAGTGGACCGCGCGGTCAGTCTGAGCTTCACGCGTGTTGGTGTTAGTAATCTCGCGCTGGCGCGCGGCAACGTACTGGAGCTCTACGAGGTGCAGCTGGTGGCGCGGCCCGACGGCGGCGGCGGCGGCGGCGAGGCGGCCGACGACTACACGTACCGCGCGTCGGGCGGCGAGGACTTTGGCCTTCCGATGATCCAGGACGACGCGCAGCAGCAGCGGCGGCTTGGCAACAAGTACACCAGCAACAGCACGAAGCGGCCACAGCTGCACCTGGTGAGCCGGTGGACCCTTCATGGCCGCATCATGGACATGCAGGCTGTGCGCGGCAGCTCAGGCGGCGGCTCAGGTGGCGGCCGGCAGCGCGTCGACCGGCTGCTGCTATCGTTCGCAGACGCCAAAATGTCGCTGGTGGCGTTCAACCGCGCCTTGCAGAGCATCACCACCGAGTCGATTCACTACTACGAGCACGACCAGCTGAAGCAGCGCGCCTTCAACGACGCGCAGACCTGTGACCTGCGCATGGATCCGGACGGCCGCTGCGTGGCCATGCGTATCTACGACGACCAGCTGGCGATCCTGCCGCTGGCCGTGCCCGGTGACGCTCCCGCGTCGGCATCGGCGCCCTCCGGCCAGAGCTTTGTCGTCGACCTGCGCGCC